GGCTGACTGGAGCTTTTTACTCTTTCAAACAGGCGTCTTCTCTCAGCTTTTATAAAGGTCATTTAAAAACCCTTTTACTCGCTGGCCTTCAGAGTGAGTCTGACTTTTGATTTGGTTTCATGGAACATTTCATTGTTATTGTTGCGGTTTTATCTTTCCATCTCTCCTCCATTCTCTGTTTTTTTGTGCAGCACTTTAGTTTGCATTGTTTTTCCAGGTACTTTCCAAAAACCGTGATAGCATGATAAAGATCTTACAATTCTGTTTTTTGATTCTGATTCCACAACTTGAGTAAAACAAAAAATAGCTTGTTCATTTCAGCATGTTTTTTTGGTTCCATCTGTAAAGCTTAAATGGAAGAAAATCTAAATAAGTCAACCACAAGCTGAGTGAGAAAGTCACAGCCAGCAAGAGGAAGTGAGGAGTCAGGAAGTGGCTTTTGTGTGTCAGCACGCAGCTCTACAACATCGAAACACACAGCTACTCCTTTAGGAGTTTCTGCTGTTTGGGTTTGTTCTTCTACACTGTGTGACAGCTAAATGTAAACAGTTTAAATCACATTCTCAGAATACAGAATCAGCTTGTACGCCCAAAAAATAAAGAAAGAAAACGGCTTTAAATAGTCAAAACATTGGCACGACTTCACCCCTTTTTAACGAACCCAAATATCAGCACGAGGACAAAAAAATGGGGAAATATGTGATCGTTAAAGAGCAAAGCAAAGGTGGTTTAAGCGTTTTATCTCTTGGCAAATGTGAAATTATGACTTGGCATCAGGTTTGAAATGAAGCCAAGCTAAGCACACAGAAACAACGCCTTCCCCTGGGCTCAGAGGCCCGGTTAGGCAACTCTGAGGGACCATTTCGGACATTTTAAACTTAAAATCTGGCTAATGGACCCGCTCAGTTAGGCCCTTCTGATGGATTCCCGGCTCCATGGCAACGCTTCTGGCCATTAAAAGTTGAACGGACAAAATTAGACCCCTAAAACTTACCGTCCCCCAAGCTCAGAGACTCGGTTAGGCAACTTTGGGGGACCATTTTGGACATTTTAAACTTTAAATCTGTTTAATGGAGTTCCAGCTCCATGGCAACGCTTCCGGTCGTTGAAAGTTGAACGGACAAAGTTAGACCCCTATAATTTACCGTCCCTCAGGCAACTTTGAGGGACCATTTTCTGACATTTTAAACTTTAAATCTGGCCGTTGGGCCCGTTTGATGGATGTCCGGCTCCATGGCAACGCTTCCGGCCGTTGAACGTTAAACCGGCCAAAGTCGGACCCCTCATAACGTACCTTCTCCTGGGCCCGGTTCAGGGACTTCTGGACCCGCTTGGCGAGGAACCCTGCCCCCGCCTGGAGGTTGGGACCCATCTTGTTGTCCGCCATGGTGCGCGTCCTCCCGGCTGGAGCTTTTTTTTTTTTGTCGCTTCCTTTCGGGGCGACCTCCCCTGCGAGGAGGCGGCGGAAGGTGGGGCAACTGGTGTCGGGACGCCCGGGGAACCGGTGCTCAGCGGGGCGGAGGCCCCTCCGTCATCGCCGGGTTGCCTGTTCCAGCTCGTTGCCCCCCTTTTTACACCTACTCCGAGTTCTTGGGAAAGGTCTACCTGCTCCGACCTGTTCCGCCGTCAACTCATCCAGCGACGCTCACCTGAAAGCGATGTGCGCAAATTACGTACGTACGTTACGTCGATTCCGGAACGTGACGTAGGTAGGCACGCGGAGGCAACGGGCTTCCTCACTGTTGTTTTTCCTGTTTCTGTCTTTATTATTGTTCTTCTATATTCCGTATTACGGTTTTTCTGCGTCTCTACGTCCACAGTTTTGGGCTGATTTAAATAAATAAGGTATCAAAACGTCCAGCTTCTTCAGGACGTAGCCTCTGTGACGTTTGGGGTTGAAATATTTTCAACTTTTTAAATTATTGAACTTTTTTTGCTCTTTTCCTCTCATAGAAATGAATGTAGTAAGATGTCTGGCTCCATCTGCTGGTCACTTTAAGATAATTGGAATTCAGCTCCAGCTCTTTTGGTACCTTATTGATAATTTCATGGCCTTTTACTATTTTCTTCTTCTTCTAATCCTTTTGCCATTCTTCTTCCACCCTTCAGTTAATCTTTAAAGCATCCTTCATTCTTTGTTGTTTTACTTTCCAATTACATTTTGCCACATTTCAGTGTTCTCTTTTGCTAATGGGTTCTTTGTCTTTTTCAGCTTTTCTTTGCCTTCTTCTGGTTCTTCCCTTCATTTCACGGCTGTTTAGTAGGGACAGCCTATTCTAGTTTTTATGTTCATTCTGAGAAATATCTGAATGACAGACGCTCTGTAGCTAACGTTTAAAACTTTCTCCCTGTGAGTGCTCTGCGGCTTTAGAGCTGCATGGGCAGGGCTTTCAGGTAGATTTCAGTTTTAAATGTGGGTTAAAATGGTTTCAAATCACGTTTGATTGAAACCACCTTAATATGGTGACGTTTGGGGGGGGGGGGGGGGTAGCCATTGAGCAGAGCTAATTAGCTGTTTGGAAGCTAGCTAGGTGGCGCAAAAGTTTCTAAATAGTTCCTGGAGTGCAAAAAATAATCATAAATGGTTTATCCATCCATCCATCCATTATCAATACCGCTTATTCCCTGATGGGGTCGCGGGGGGAACTGGAGCCTATCCCAGTGGTCAACTGGCGAGAGGCAAGGTACACCCTGGACAGTCCGCCAGTCCATCACAGGGACACACAGAGACACACAAGGACCAACAACCACTCACGCTCACATTCACTCCTAAGGGCAATTTCCCCAATCTCCAACAACCTAACATGCAGGTTTTTTGGACTGTGGGAGGAAGCCGGAGAACCCGGAGAGAACCCACGCAGACACAGGAGAACATGCAAACTCCACCCAGAAAGGTCCTGGTTCCCCCGGGACTCCAACCCAGAACCCTCTTGCTGGGAGGCGACAGTGCTAACCACCACACCACCGTGCCGCCCATAAATGGTTTACTTATGATTTAATTATTATTCTATATTTATTATTGATTATTGTAGGGAGTTCCACTGAAAGGGCTGGCTCTTAGAATTAGCTAATTCCCACTTAGATTGGTCTCCCTTTTAAGGTATTTCATTCATTCAAATGTTGGTGTGACTTGTTTAGTTGGGGAGTTATGATAAATTGTGATGGCTGTGGGCAGGAAAGATGTTCCAACTAATCTGAAGAAGCCTCTGACTGAAGAGCCCCTTTTCCAATCTAAGTCTCAAAAAGAAGATGGTCAGGGTGGTCCATAAAACACATCTGGGTCCTAATTTGTTGAAGTTTTGTGCACGCAAAATGGGTTTAAAAATTGGATTACGTCACTTTCCATGCAAGGGTTGCAGTCTCTTAAAAACAACAACAACAGCTTGATAGGAACATGTGTTTCCTTCATTCTAACGCAGACCCACTCGTACGCATGGCGAGGCGGGAAATGGATTCCTCCCAGACAGACTAAATCCCTCCATGTGAAACTTTAATCATAGATCTAATTATTCAAAGCAGCTATGTGGCTTCTGTTTGTTCTGGTGAGCTATTACCTGTAAATAAGGACCTGTTAAACACATTTTAAAAGGACCAATCAGACTGGTTTCTGTAGTCGTGCATGATACTGTGCAATACTTGCAAATGGGAGTATTAAAGAGAAAGATTGTTTTTTTCCATCATCATAGCCGGATAATATGCTAAAATGAAATCCCTGGAGCATTGGTCTTGGTTTTGAACTTGGTGCAGCATTGGAAAGGTGACCACTCCGGGGTTCCTGGTACCAGTGGGAATAAGCTGTGTGTCTTTAACGTAATCAACAGTTAAATAACTCCGTCTGAAGACACTTTAGGAACCACATAAATCTGTGAAATGCTCTTGGATGTTGCAGCCCGTTGGCATTAATGAGGTGTTTTACAAAAGGGAAGTTGCGTGCTTGTGTGCGGGCGCATGCTTTTAAAGGCATGGCAGCACATTACATAGAATTTTTGTATATTTTGTAGATAACTTTGTAGATACCAACCAAGCGTGTCTGGTGATTCGCTTGGTTGGTGACATGCAACCGTTGCTTCGTCTCTTCTTTGAGCAGCTGCGGCTCCTCAGCACCTCCTCTCTTTTTATTTGAACTTATTATCTATTCTATGATATGACAACTGTGGCCCAGTGTGATTGTAATGCCAGCAAAATGTGGTTTGATATTATGTTAGTGGAGTTAAACTCCTTCTTAAAGTCCTGTTCAGGTTAACAACACTTGTTATTTCAAAACCTGATAAAGACCTAATGGAACTCACTCAGGGTTGGAAGCTGTCTTTGTCAGATTCATTCTTTCATTCTATTCTGTGACACAAATAATAAGAAGACCATTAACCACATAAGTTCACATGAATCAACTTTATTCTGTAACTGCTGATATTTTATATTTGCACCATCAAACTTTCAGCATGTGGCTCTCCTCATTCTGTATTCATGACCACCTATGTACTGTTTCATGTAAGTATTATGCAGCTTTCTGCCTTTTAATGCTATCTGTACACTGTTTTGACGGATTCTGTTTGTATCTGACTTGAATAAATCCCATTTATTTCCTTAAAATATTGTGAATTTAGCTTCTAGTCATTTAAGAATAAGCTGTTGCCTTTTAGATCTTGTGATTTAGGCTGTAACTGCTTAACTAGGCATCATACTGATCCCACAGTCTGTAATACCTGCCAACTTGATGTGTGTTTAAGAGAATACACCATAGAAAAGGTGGAGAGGGCATAAAATGTTTTAGTATAAAGGTTACATGGAAATAGTGTAGTTGTTATGACGTTCCTTCGCCAACAGAGGGCGGAAGACACCAAATTATTGTTATAAACTCTCTCTTTTTCTTTCTATATATAGATATATAAATATATATGTATGTGTGTGTGTTTAAGATCAACTTTTTTAAAAATGTATGCCACCTTTAATTAATTAGGATCGATTTGTATTTACTGTCTGTCAGAGGCCATATGTTAGATAACAACCTTATCTATCTGTAGTTTAAATAATCGGTTCAGTTTTTAACTAACCTGACTTTAATGACACATTTCTCGAAAGAGTCATCAAACTCAGGGCTTTTACGGCACTCAAGTAATATCCGGTTTTGTGACGTAACTACGTGTGAACGTTTTCTACTAACAAACGTACCGATGTACCGGGCGGGCGGGGCTTTCACCATATTCTAGATGGTTCTTAACACCGCATACGGTGAGTACAGGGTAAGATATCGAGCGCACCTTAGAGTAGCCAGACAAGAAATAGCCGGAGACGTTTGGCGGGGTGGATAGTCACCTGCTACCCGGGAGAAAAGCAACTACTCCGGGGCTTACTCACGGGACCCGTAACGGCTTTTAACTGCTCCTGGAGACGGAACTATTTAATCCATTTTGACGGGATTCTCGTTGGGAGACGGAGTCGGTGTGATTGAAGTAGCTTTTTTTTTTTAAACCTCGACCCCCTCCAACGGCTCTGCCTCGCGCAGGCAAACGGAAATAACCGTCAAAATGCCTCCCATCGAAAACGACACCGGGAAGAGCGAGTTGAAGACTCAGATTCAGCTCCTCATTGACTCAAATCAAGTGATGGTCTTCAGCAAAAGCTACTGCCCCTTTTGTGTGAAGGTGAGGCCGTTTTTTGCTGTTAAAAAGCCGTTAAAACGGCCGCTCGCGCCGGTCAGAAACTTCAATTTTTTTCCCCCGCGGAGCAGACGGGGCTCGGCCTAATTTTCTGGGTTGTCCTTTCCGTCTTTTAAACCTAAATCCCAGTATTTAATATTAGGTCAAGCTATTAATTTGAGAAAGTCACGCATTTACGTTAACTTAACGCGAGAAAAATCCCAAACTTGCCCAAACGAAAAAAGTTAGCTTACACAATTTCTTGCTAGTGGTTCGGTTAAGAAACGACACATAATTGGTGAGATATTAAGTCCAAATGACCGATATTTTCTCCATAAATCCCGTAAATAATTTGGTTTAAAGTTAAAGTCATATATTTACATGAATTAATGCGTGCACACATCTTAAAATGTTCTTATAGATAATATTAAACTGATCTTAACAAACTTCCGGCAACATCCTTTTTCACCAGTGATTTAAAGTCTCAGAGTCTTGTTGACCTGATGTTTGTTTTGTTGTGTTTTTGTAGGTAAAGGACCTGTTCAAAGAGCTGAAAGTGGACTGTAACGTGGTGGAGTTGGACCTCATAGGTGAGCCTGAAGCCTTTCTGTGACCTTGTGTCTCAGATTTGTATCGAGGCGTCTGGTGTTTGGTAACAGCTCAAAAGAAACGTTGAATTTGTTTGTTTCTGTGGGGCTAAAGTCTAATATTTGATTATTTAAATTAAAAAACTGAATGAACACTTAGTGTTGCCTTATAGGGGCTATAGCAGACTTTAAATGAAGTCATCTTTAATAATAAATCAGGCTGCAGCTAAAGATAACATAACGGTTCTGTTTATTTATTTGTTAAATTAAATTTTGACACCAAACACTCTAATGGTTTAATGAATACCTAAAACTGCCACCCTTTGACGTCTTTTCTTCTCCCCTCTTTTATCCTGTGTCCACGCCTTTTATTTTATTTAAAAAAATGCGTTGTAAATTGATTTTCCGGTTTTGGGATTTTTTATTTATAACCATCCCCCTGATGCTGGATTGGAGGTGTTGAATTTCTTTCTGTGGGGCTAAAGTCTAATCTTTGATTATTTAAATTAAAAAAGTTTATGAACTGTTAGTGATGCCTTATGGGGGCTATAGGAGACTTTATATGAAGTCATCTTTAATAATAAATCAGGCTGCAGCTATTGGAAACATAACGGTTTTGTTTATTTATTTATTAAATTAACATTGTCAGTAAAGAGTCTAAGGGTTTAATAAATACTTAAAACCGCCACCCTTTATTGTGTATATTTGGCTTTGGCTTCTTTTCTTCTCCCCTCTATTATCCTGTGTCCACTACTTTATTCATTTAAAAAAAATCTTGAGTAAATAGTTTTTCCGGTTTGGAGATTTGAACCCAGCTTTTTCATTTTGTTTTTTTAATTTAAAAACCATCCCTCTGATGCTGCATTGGAGCTGTTGAATTTGTTTCTGTGGGGCTAAATTTTCATCTTTGATTAATCTTTAATTATTCAAATGAAAAAAGTGTATGAACAGTTAGTGTTGCATTATAGGGGCTATAAGAGACTTTATATGAAGTCATCTTTAATAATATATCGGGCTGAAGCTATAGGTAACATAATGGTTTTGTTTATTTATTAATTAACATCATCAGTAAAGACTCTAAGGGTTTAATAAATACTTTAAGTCGCCACCCTGTATTGTGTACATTTGGCTCAGGCTTTTTTTCTTCTCCTCTCTGTTATCCTGTGTCCACGCCTTTATTCATTTTGAAAAATGCGGAATAAATTGCTTTTCCGGATTGGGGATAAATTTCATAGATAGTTTTGAATGATTTAATTTCAAATAAAGACTTTTAATTAAGGTTAAATAAATTGTTAGTTCAGTAAAATCACAACTGGCTGGATGCAACAGCAGCATTCCTGTTTAACAGCAGATTAAAGCCTTTTTTATTTAAAAGACTATTTAATAGATAGTTTTGAATGATTTAATTTCAAATAAAGACTTTTAATTAAGGTTAAATAAATAGTTAGTTCAGTAAAATCACAACTGGTTGGATGCAACAGCAGCATTCCTGTATAACAGCAGATTAAAGCCTTTATTTTATTTAACTCATTCGCTGCCAAAGACGTCTATAGACGTCTTTTATGTTTTTCAATTGCGAGTGACTTGGGGGACGATCGGCGAAAGTTTTTCCGTAAATATCGGCTTCTAGACAGAGTATGGACTAACAAATTTACCCTCTAGGTAGCTGTGCCACTTTTGATGGGAGATTAGCATAGATTGTAAGCAAATAAAAACAAACGCAATGGTTCGCTATGAGAGAAATGGCGCCGGTGAGACGCACGTCGAAGAAGAACGGAATAAGGTAGAAACAAATTTTTTTTCCTGATGATAGAAGAGAGTCTCCTCTTTCTTTTGGTGTGTTTGGTGTTTACATAGTCAAAGCACAAACTATTCTGTGGCTCTTGAAAAATCTGTCAAAATTCTCAAAAAACTCTGGCAGTGAGCGACTCTCTGTTCTGAAAATGGCTGGCAGTCAATGAGTTAAAAACCATCCCTCTGATGCTGCTTTGGAGCTGTTGTTGGTCTCTAGCCTTATCGGCCTTATCAGGATCAGCAGGTGCTCTAACCCTACTGCCCCCCCCCCCGATCTAACACCAGGACGGGCCCCGCCGGGCACCATTTCTTTTGTAACCTGTTGGTGAAACAGGCAGCGCGCCCGTCTGTGCAATTTGCCGCTCCACAACACAGCTGGAGCTCATAAATGATGCAGGAAACACTCTGAGAAATTATCCCAACGGCAAACAAAGCCGGGTCCCAGCAGTACGGTTGTCATGATACTAACATTTTCAACCCGATACTCAGGAAAATATTCCATACTCGATACCACAAGGATAAAAACAAAGACCCCAAAATTTAGCTGACTTTTGACAGGTTAGTGTCTTTGGTTTCAAACTGACCTGTTACTGATGTTATGGTGGCCCACATTAGTGACCCTAAGTCTAACCCTAACCCTTCATAATTGTGACAAATAAATATTTTTTTGGTTAAACTTGTTTGGACTTAATGTACAAACCTATTTAACATCCACTATTTCAACATAATATTGATAGAGTTGAATTCAGTGTTTGAAAGATTAATTTCACTATTTTTAAATTAATGTCTATATTGCCATGAAGCAATTAGGATTTTCTTGCCTGGGATCTTCCTATTGGTGACCTAATCAAAATGGCCGACTTGGATGTGGGGGAATTGGATATCCATCCTTGGCTTCCTGCAGACTTGATTAATGTTGGCGTGTTGTTATTAGCCATTAGCCGCAGCTAGCAATTCAAGGCTAACGTCACGTTAATGATCATAAACAATGTAAATAAATAAATCAAAGAGAAGGGGGGGGGGGGGG